CTAAAATGCAATAAAATAAATGGAGGAAAAAAAAAAGAAATTAAATTTAAAAATGAAGATTTGGCTTCCAGTATGAATCTCATTTTTTTGTTGTTGTTGTTTCAGTGTGAAGATCACTTTTTAAAATGACTGCCTTTGGCATTCATCTTGTTGCTACAGGTGTCTGACACATTTGTCCATGTGAGGAGATGTCAAGAAAAGTGGGTTCCCAGATATGGTTAGATCTGCATTGCTAAGCCTGTTTGGGTTTTGTACAATTTAAAAGTTGTTCAGCTTAACATTAATTAGATTTCTGTACTTTGGATTACGAGTGCTTGGATGTCATTATCTGTTTAAATATTTGATATTTGATTATTTAGATATATTTAAAAATATTCCAGGGAATGTGTGACTGTGTGTTTTTAACATTGTGATAGTTTTATATTAGACTTTATTTGGAACTATTATCAGATAAAAGATAACAAATATGTCTTTCAAAGCTTTGTTTCCAGTAGGAGCAATTACAGTTATGATTTAAAATGAAGTATGTGGAATGAAAAAGACCTGGAGTCTGGTTCATATTAAACATCCCTATTAAGAAATAATTCAGCCTAGTGTTGTTTCCAAAATAGAGCCTCAGAGAATACATTGAGCTTCATTGATCCAACAAGTAAATACCTGCTTTATGAAACTCTAGTCTTAACAATGTTAAAGATTTAAATATGATATTGAAGGCCATTGTGGAATTAAAAAATATGGTGAACTTATTATATTATGATATACTTTAATTCCTAAATTGATTTAAAATGAATAAATGAATAGTATGGATCTGAAGTCTGTCTATACAGCAGGAAATAGGTAAGTAATTACAGCTTGTAGAAGAGTTACTTGGAGTGGTAAATGATTTTATTGGAGGTGGAATATCTGTCAAGAGAGGACAGCTCATGTTAGGATCTCATAGTGTTTACTTTTTCTGAGATGGAGTTTCGCTCTTGTTACCCAGGCTGGAGTGCAATGGCGCAATCTCAGCTCACCGCAACCTCCACCTCCTGGGTTCAGGCAATTCTCCTGCCTCAGCCTCCTGAGCTGGGATTACAGGCACGCGCCACCATGCCCAGCTAATTTTTTGTATTTTTAGTAGAGACGGGGTTTCACCATGTTGACCAGGATGGTCTCGATCTCTTGATATCGTGATCTACCCGCCTCGGCCTCCCAAAGTGCTGGGATTACAGGCGTGAGCCACCATGCCCAGCCCGTGTTTACCTTTTTTGGATTGTGGACAAAGTTGGTGCTTATGCAAAAGTTGTCAGCTGAAGTTTTTTTTTTTTTTTTTGGTGGTTGTTGTTGGTGGTGTTGGGGAGAATGTGAAAGGTGTTAAAATGTTTGATTCCAAAGTAAAATAACAAATTTGGGCAACTCTGATAACCTAATATATTGTTTCTCTGTAATAAAGTGATGTATAACTGTTCAGAAACTAAAACAGACATTTCAGATGTCTCCCAATGTATATCACTATATATGTCTTTAAGTCAAATCCAGACTTCTTCCTTATTGCATAACTATGTTCTGGCTGCCTAGGTAACTTTGTATAGACCTAGCAAACAGAGCAGTAGGTTTCAGTATTTTTTGTAGTTCACTGCTTTTTACTTCCTTGACAAACATGTAGTGAAGATTAATTATAGATATGAAAGGTGCTGGTGTATTCGTATAGTCTCATCTGACAACCACAGTCCATGAAATTGAGGCTGCTTTAAAGGGGCTCTGTGTGTGTAGGTATGTGTGGATAGAGTTTTCTGAATTTAAAGAATTTGTGTACATAAACAACACAGACCTATATTCTTGCTATTGTTCAATTGTGATTTATATTTTAGAGAGCTAATATCTGTAATATGATAGAACTGTGGTTACTCTAAGATATCTCATGCCATCTGTGTCAGGGCTATTTCATTGCTTTTCCATGTCAGAGAAATCAAATGCAGCTTGAGGATAAAAAGAGTGGAAATTAATGATATACTGAAATAATATGTATTTTCATATATCATTTTGATGCTATTTTGGAGAATGCCTTAGATAGTCCATAGGTAGGCAGATGGGGATTTTTAAGTACATAAGCTGTAAATCAATCCATTCAGTCAGATCATTTAACTTATATGGAAAAAGGATGAGGAACAATACTACATTTTAATGTACAGAAATAACCTCAGTTGTTTAACATTTCCTTTTTGGCTTGTTAACAGCTTGTGGGTAGATGTAGCCCTGGATTATTATTACTTGCTTACCTTAGGATATTGACCAGAAGGAATTGGACAGGGAAACGGCAGAGAGACCTAGGGAATGGAGTACTCATTTGAGAAAACAGTCAAAAAGAACAAATTATCAATTATTTGAGAATGAGATCTCAGAAATTAGGTTATATGTTTTTGAAAGCAGTAGCAAAAGTAGAGGATTTATTTATTTGTACCACTCTAGTTACAAAAAGGATTACAAAGTAGATGGGTTACTTATCTTGGTAATATGGGTTTTAGATCAAGGTGAATTGAGGGGGACGATGGGGAGAACCTGCTTTTCTTACTGCAAAGGTTCCTCTAAACTTGAGCTCTGGGCTTGCTCTCACCCTCCAGGGGTAACTTGTTCATCTCTTCGTTGAATAATATGTACTTGGGCAGCTCAGTGGGGGACTGCATGATCTTTTCAGCTCCAGTCTCTAATGTTTGTATCAAGTAAGCATTTTCATTATTTATCAAGTCATCTCATTTAGATGCCTATATCCTAGTAAAAAGTATCCTGCCTCAGTAATAGTCTGTACATGTAAGCATTTAAACCGTTAGTATGTTATAGGTCTTAATATCAGTGTTACTGTACATATTAAATAAAATTTTACCTTAAAGCTCCAATTTAGACTAAAACTTGTACTATTTTTTTTAGGACAGCCAGTAGAGGGGACTTCATGTTTTCTGCGGATCGTTTGGTAGGTGGAGGCTTTTCATTTTCATTTTGTTGTTTTGCCTAGTGATATAATCATGGTAGACCAAGGAGTATTTTTGTTCTAGAGCATTCTGGGACTGAAAGAGATTGTACTAAGTAACCATCATCTTGCTAGGCTTATGAAGTGTTGTTTTACTGTTGCATTAAAGATCTGCTTCAATACCTTTTACCTAAAAACATTGCCCATGAACTAATTTCCTGTATTTCTGAGTTACCATTGCCTCTCAACTGGATCTTGGTAATTTGATTCTCAGCAATTGTTAAGTGCCTTCTCTTAGGTCAGTGAAATACATTAAAAGAAGACCAAAAATGTAAGAAGAACTTAGAGTTACACTTGTGGTATTCAGTGAATGTACAAAAACTAATACATTTCTTATAGTTTATGTGGGCAGGGGGGTGGTGCTTATTTTGCCTCATCTTTACTGAACTATGCTTCACATGTGAAATAGTACATTTGACTGTCTATGCTTTCCTCAGGGACTTCCTGTTAAGGATTGACAAAGCCCAATTCTGTTTAGCTAGTGTGATCTGGGAGGGTCTCATCCCAAATTGGTTTGTCTTCAGGGTAAGCACTGTGTTTTCTTCTTGTATTAAGATCTAAGCATGCTCAGTGCTTGGGAGTGAGGTTGACATGTTTTCCACTGTGGTTATTAGTTTTAATCCAGAGCAGAAAATATATTACATTCAGGAAAGTTTAGCTTATATTTATATTCATATAAATATAATTTAATGTATATTTATGTGTAGTGTATGTTCATGAAGTTTAGTGTATATTTTATGAATATATATTTCATGATTCTATTTCACTAAACTTACGTGAATCGGGCACTGTGCTAGGCTGTGTCTGGAGAGATGAGATACAATAGTGAAGAATGTAGGCATGGTCCCTAATCTCATGGTGTTTACAATCTAAATATTAGATTTACAAACTAAGTACGAATTTGGGAAAGAAAGGAATGAACATGGCTTCTTAGCCTCAAAGTTATAAACAGATTAAAAGAGATGATTAAAAGGAATATGAAAAAAAGGCATGAAACTTTTTATTTAGGTTTTGCCTAAGGAATTTATTCCAAAAGAGTATAGAGAACTCCTGTTCTGCTTTTGGCCATAAATATTCTTGGTTCAGAGACCAATTTTATTTAAAATTATTTGAGTTTTCAGTGGCAGTAATAACCCTTGGATAGTACCAAGATAAATGTGGTTGACATTCCTGGAGCAAAAGTTAGGTTATTCTGTCTTTTATGCTTTTATCAAACCAAAAGAACAGTCTTGAAGAACTTGTATCTTAATGGCTGCTGTTTTGGTATTTACTGGTAGAAAATGGTTCCTCTTTCTTTTGCTGTTCTTATGCTCTTTTTCTATAGAAAGTAGGAATTAAGTTCATAGTGATTGTAGGATGCTTCCCTGAAAGGGCAAGCATAATCTTAGCCCATTGAAATAGCAAGGACCAATGACATAATTCGCCTGAGGGGACGACGATTTGTACCTCTCTCTGTTCTCTGCAGGTAGCTTTGAAGGTCCTGATATGGGGTGAAAAAGGGTCTGTTGTGGTTGTGGTAGAGACTAGAGCTCTTTAGGTTTACCTTCTTGAGGATTTCTAGTACGCTGTCTCCTACAGCACAAGGGTCCCATCATAGTGCACATGAATTTTATCCTGAATTTGTCAGGGTTGGCTTCCTTGGCCCTCACATCCTTAAGTTCTTAATAATTTAGTCACTATTCTGATTTTATGCTCTCCTGTAAGACTTGGGAAGATTAATTTCTGTCCTAGTGTTGGAGGGGATGTGGATAGGAAGTAAGACTCATTACAGGACTGTTACTAGGAGGAAAAGGTCTAGGCTCTACAAAGAAAAGAATCCTCTCTTACCATTGTAATTTGTCATTAAAGAAACCATAAATCTCCACAGAAGGTGGTGGCTGAGGGTGAGTATGCACACATATGGAGTATTCATGAGGTCCCTGTGCCCTCTGTCTGATGCTGCAGGCTGATAATATCTTGGCTTATTTAGAATTGATTCTTTTAATGGCAGCAGGGTGTTATTATATGTTGTGATAACAGAACATGGGGCCTGGTGCTTCTGCCTGCTGTTGCAGATTCTCAATCAGTAATGTAATATTGATTGGATAAAATGTGCATTGCAGACTCAGCACTACTTTTATTGTAGTTGTCTCTGGTTGTTAATAGGATTACTATATCTTGTTTTTGGAGGCTCTTCCAGTAGTTCTGAGTGATGCTTTCCTTTGTACCACACATTACAATTGATATGAGCCTTTTCTTTAGCTGAGAAGACCCAGTGCATTTTACTGGATTCCCCTTCAAGCTCAGTAAATTGGTTCAGCCCAGGCACTCATTTATTTCCTCTAAAGAAGTTTGAGGCTTTATTTACATTATGGTGGGGCTTTGTTAAAAATAATCTGACTTAACGATTTCCAAGATACTGAACAAAGCAGAGAAATTCCCAGTGGGCACTATTTCCAGAATAACCAGAAGTATATTACTTTTAAGAGTGCCTGCCATGACTGTTATCACTTGCTGGAGTTTTGTGTCCCTCATATTCTGGACTGACAGAATGAGAAACCAAAGGCATATTGGAGCCTTTTGGTGCCAGTCATGTGCCTATCTGAGGTTGGATACCTAGCAGCAAGTAGCATGGCATTTGGATCTATCCCTGTATCTAACACATGATAGGGGACCCCTTCCTGCCTTCCTAAGTGTAACCTTTGCCTAGTGTGTTCATGACTCTGCCTACTGTTCAGCTCCTGAAGCTGACAGCTAACAGGAGATTCCCAGCAGGTTCTCAACTTCTTCTTCCTTTGACCCTCTAGATCAGACTTGTTGTGGAAGAGGGATTGAATCAGCTGCCATATAAAGAATGCATGGTGACCACTCCAACAGGTAACTAGGGCTGTTATTCTCAAATTTTACTCATAAAAATTTTGAGCTAGAATGGGGAAATATAGAAGTAAAGCAGTCTAAGTAAAATAAATATGCAAAATGAGAAGCCTAGGTGGAGCTGTTTTTTAAAACATCTTTAAAAAACACTCAGGCATTTAAGAATGAAATCTGTGTAGATGACTTTTTATTAATGGCTTGCTTGTCAATTCAAGTTAAATGTTAATAAATACTCTTCAGCATGCAGGTGTTGCCTCTGATGACGGCCCATTGGGACCAGAGTTAAGAATTGCTGGCAGCATATCTTCATCTCTATGAGGAAGCTGCTGGTGTGCACAAATGGGCAAGTCTGTCTTGGCATTGAAATTCCACGTTAAAAAGGAACAGAAAGTAAAAAGAAAACTAAAGATGATAAGAACTGGAGAGGGTACTTTGTTCTACCCTTGAATAGAAAGTAGTCAAAGATCTCTGTTTCAGGGATTTGAAATTCTGATTTGGTTCTTTAGTAAATAATGGAAAACTGTTCTATTCAAATGGTTGACTTTATGAAAGTTGGGGACTGAGCTTGTTGCATCATAATTGACATAAATTCAGGATGAGATCAAGGGTTGAGCATGTCTTGATAACTACTTCAGCCACTTTCTTCTGCTTTTAAGGCAGAATGGAGGCTCATAAGGAAGAAAGGAATGAGGAGGCTTTCTGCTGTGGCTCACAGTGGGGTCCCAGTTTGAATTGATGAGGTGTTTAGTATTCTTGGAGTGCAGTGATTCTCCTTTGAATTCAGTTTGAAGAATGCGCATGTGAATATCATGTTATAATAAGTCCTATTCCCATTCGATGAAGTCTGCCTTTCCCAATTATCCCCACAGGTTTCTTATGAAGAATTAAGAAATAACTGATAAATCATGGCTCATCTCATTACTTCCACAGGGAATCTCAGGCATTATACAGTGTGTCTGAACAAGGGTTGCTCTGTGCCCATCTACTTTAAACCATAGAAACTTTTTAAAATAAGCAGGTTGCTCCAGTGATGAAAGATAAATTCTTTGGTTTTATTTCCTAACAGGATACAAGTATGAAGGAGTGAAATTTGAGAAGGGAAATTGTGGGGTCAGCATAATGAGAAGCGGTAGGTTCACATGTGTGTGATTTTTGTCTCTTTGTATGCATAGAAATGGTTGCTGTTTTCCAGAAGAGAGGCAGGCTTGTCTGTCATAATTGCAGCTTGTCTTCAGTTGAATCTCACCACCTGTGTTATCTATCCTCATGGTGCTGTGGAGTCATGGCCTGTGTGATGCTAGGTTTGGCTAATTTTAACTACAGAGCATATTCCCTAGTAGAGTGTCCCCATGGGCAAGCCAGCTTTCAAAGAGATTCAGGGGAGGATAGGAAGATGTGATGATGTGATGATACTATCTTGGGGAGAACAGGGTAGTTTGAAGACTGAGGGAATGTGGTGTAAATTCAGGCCTGCAGAACTTTGAATGCCTGACTGGAGAAAATATTTCTTCTGTTTTTATTTCTGTTGTGGGACTAAATGACTCATTTGATATTTTTAATTTTTTTTGAGACAGGGCCTCACTCTGTTGTCCAGGCTGGAGTATGGTGGTGTGATCATAGCTCACTGTAACTTCAAACCCCTGAGTTCAAGTAACCCTCCCACCTGAGCCTCCTGATCAGCTAGGACTACAGGCACGTGCCCCTATACCTAGCAAATTTAAAAGAATTTTTTTTTTTTTTTTTTTGGTAGAGGTGAGGTCTTGCTATGTTGCCCAGGCTGTCTAAAACTTCTGGCCTCCAGTGATACTCCCACCTCAGCCTCCTAAAGTGCTGGGATTATGGACATGAGCCGCTACACCGGGCCTGATAGTGACCACATAGGCAAAAGTGCTTTACTGTCATTAACTCTAGGTATTTCCATTTGCTGGTCTTACAAATGTTGAATTTATGTTTGAGTCTCCTTCTAAACCAATATAGAAAAATCATTTGCCTGTGATTAGACCTATGCCTGTTATGTGGGGTTATTTCATTCTGCAAACTTAATTGTTTTATATAAGATTTATATTTTTTGCATAAGTGGTAGAAGCTCCACTTGTTTGCACTGAATACATATAGTTTAATTTTTTAACATATAAACATTCACTTTCCTCTTCTGGTTATGAAGTTCTGTTTGTGAACAATTAAATGCCTCAAGTAAACTAGGAACTTTAAGCTCCTTTTTTCTAGGAGGCAGCTCTTAAACATTGATAGCATTTCAGGACAATGATGTTCAGCTTTTAAAAACTGGTAAAGAAAATGGACTTTTAAGGCACAGTTTCTTCTGTTTCAGTTCAGCTTCTTCCCTAAAGGCACCAGCATGGTCCTTGCACCCCGACTATATACCAGATGACTTGTGGTGATGTACAGAATTGTTTATAACCTTAATAGCCATTTGTTGATTTTCATATATATTAGAAACTGGTTTTATGTTTTTACTAGTGATATAGTTTCTTCTTAAAATAAATTTAAATGAAAACAGTTAATTTAAGAAAAATGTTAAGTAAATGCCAGTATTGGTAGAATTCTGATATGGCCTAAAATCTTGAAGATGACATGAGAATGATTGCATTTTGGCAAACACTTCCTTAAAGGAATTCAGACTCAAAAATATCTCTGTGTTCAGAAACCAAGGATGGTAGTGCTAGTTATTTTTACCTTGGAGAGGGGGAACAATACACAACTTTTTCACTACTTGCAGCAAAATACTGTTGAGAAGTCATTGTTGAGCTAAGTGATGTCCCCTGATGCTACCTTGACCTAAAATGAAACGTTTTGATCTACAGCCTTTATTCTTCCACAAATCTTTTGTGTTTTCTCAGCCCAAAGTCACAAATTTAGGAGGTTTAAAGGCCTATTTAAAATAACAGAGATAAAATTCTTCCTGATATTAAAAAAGCTCAGGGAGCTGCTCAACAAAATGCTTTATTTCCTATAATCATGGAAGCATGACAGCTCTAAAACTTGTAAGCCAGCAATAAAACCAGCTTATCCTAGTTTCATAAACCAGCCCTTAACCTGGTTTCAATTAACATACACCAGGTATGAAATATGAGCATATTGGAAATAAAAGCTGTCAGCTTCAAAATAATTACTTTCTTCTTCCTTCCTTTTTGTATTAATAATAGTGACAAACTCTACTTTGGACTATTCTTGGACTTTCTCTCTCTTTCCCCTAATCATTTTTCTTTCTTTTTAATTCTTCAAGGTGAGGCAATGGAACAAGGTTTACGAGACTGCTGTCGATCCATACGAATTGGAAAGATCCTGATTCAGAGTGATGAGGAGACACAAAGAGCCAAAGTATATTATGCCAAATTCCCCCCAGACATTTACCGGAGAAAAGTCCTTCTGATGTATCCAATTCTCAGTGAGTGGCTTCAATTTATTTGTAACCTTTGGTTAGGGTTTAAATTGAATGTAGTGCCTGCCTCCTAGGTACCCTTATATAAAAGGCAAAAATAGTTTCTAAACGTGTTTTTCTCAGTTGAGAAAACTGCCCTGGGAAGTTCCCTGTAGAGATTTTATTGTATAATAAGAGAATATACAGTAGTCAGACTTTATTAGCCCCAAAAAGCTTCTGTTTTGAACACATCAAAACAAAGGATTTAATGAAGCAAAATATATGGAAGGCAGAAAATATATTGAAACATATCTCCTCTTTCGCTTAATGAGTACAGCAGGGATTTTCCTTTAGAATGTATTCTCTCTGTAGGTAATATTTTTTCCTGCTATTCTGTTTTCTTTCTTAAGCTTACTCAGACAACACTTGGCATAGTCTTCAAGGCAGATGAGAGGGAATATGTTAAATTTGATACCTCACATACTAAATGATTTTAGGGCTTGGTATTTGATAACTGAGAAGTGTATGTGTCATGTCCATTATTGAATATAGCATGGATAAAGAACAAATACCTTCTAATGAAGTTTTGCATGCTGTTTTCTTATATTATATTGCTATATTGCTCTTACTTCAAAGACTGTTAAAAGACATTTTGTGACTGGGTACTGTGACTCACACCTGTAATCCCAGCACTTTGGGAGGTTGAGGTGGAAGGATCACTTGAGCCCAGTTCATGACCAGCCTGGGCAACATATGGAGACCTCATTTCTGCAATAAATAGAAAAAGCAGCTGAGTGTGGTGGCACATGCCTATAGTCCCAGCTACTTGGGAGGCTGAGGTGGGAGGATGGCCAAGGTCATACCACTGTACTCCAGCCTGAGTGACAGAGTGATTTTCTGTCTCAAAAAAACAAAAAAGACATTTTAAAATAAATGGTAAGGTGGCTAATGCATTTGGTTATCTTTTGCTTTCAGGCACTGGAAATACTGTAATTGAAGCTGTAAAGGTTCTTATAGAACATGGAGTTCAACCCAGTGTTATCATCCTACTCAGCCTGTTCTCTACGCCTCATGGTGAGTTCAGCATAAGGCAGTAAATAGGGCTTCAGATAGTCCTGAGGTGGGTAAGTATGCATTTTCTAGTTTCATATCCTGAGGGAAAGTTTAATCTGCTTTCACATTAAATCTGAATCAAGTTTCGGTAATTTTATCTTGTGTTTGTCATCTCTAAGCTGAGTGATAACATTTTATACCATTCTACTGTTCAAATTCAAATGGAGAAGTATGAGCTAACCCCATTTAAAAGAATTGCAGGGGAGAGATGATCCAAGATGGCTAAATAGGAACAGCTCTGTAGTGTAGTTCCCAGTGAGAATGCAGAGGGTGAGTGATCTCTGCATTTCCAAATGAATTTTTACTGCCTACAGAGCAGAAGATTCCCAGGTGGAAAAGTGCCACAAGTCTCTAGTACTGCTATTTCAGCTGGAGCAGTGGGTCTCCACACAAAAACTCACAAAAATCTGGGTGCTGTTTCAATTGATGCCTGGAATGACTGGGAGACAGAGTCACCCATTCAACTGAAAAAAAAGGGGGCTGAAACAGGGAGCCAGGTGATCTGGCTTGGTGGGTCCCACCCCCACAAAGACCCACAATCTGAAACGCTCTGGATTGAGTTTCACAGCAAGCACAGCTGGACCCAGGATGGTTCAGCTCTGTGGGGGGAAGGACATCCACCATTACCGAGGCAGCCCGCCATTACCGAGGCAGTCCGACATTACCAATGCAGTCCACCATTACAGAGACAGTCCACCATTACTGAGGCAGATCACCATTACTGAGGCAGTTCTAACTATAAACAAAAACACAAGGAAGTTCACACAGCAGCTGGGCAGAGCTCACGGCAGCTCAGCAATGCCTCTGCTGGCGGACTGTGACTAGGCTACCTTGCTAGGCAGGGCATCTCTGAAGAAAGGCAGCAGCACATCAGGGACATATAAATAAAGCCCCACCATCTCAGGACAGAGCACCTGGGAAAAAAAGGTGCTTATGAATTCCACTGAAGCAGACTTAAATGTACCTGCCCAGCAGCTCTGAATGGAACAATGGAGCTCACAGCTCAGCACTTGAGCTCCTATAAGGGACAGACTGCCTTCTCAAGCAGCTCCCCAACCACCCTATACCCTAAGAGATACCTCATAAAGGAGAGCTCAGGCTGACAACTGGCAGGTATCCTTCTGGGACAAAGATAACAGAAGAAGAAACTGGCAGCAACCTTTACTGTTCTACAGCTGCTGCAGGTGATCCCCAGGCAAGCAGGGTCTGAAGTGGACCTCCAACAGTCCTATAGTAGAGGGGCCTGATTGTTAGAAGGAAAACTAAAAAACAGAAAGAAATAACTTCATCATCAACAAAAAGGACATCACTCGGAGACCCCATCTGAAAGTCACTAACTACAAAGACCACAGGTAGGTAAATGCACAAAGATGGGAAGAAACAAGCACAAAAAGGATGAAAACACTGGAAACCAGAACGCCTCTCCTCCTCCAAGGGATCACAACTCCTCACCAACAAGGGAACAAGGCTGGATGGAGAATGAGTCTGATCAATTGACAGAAACAGGCTTCAGAAGGTGGGTAATAACACTTCTCTGAGCTAAAAGAACATGTTATAACCCAATGAAAAAAAACTAAGAACCTTGAAAAAAGGTTTAGAGAAATGCTAACAAGAATAAACAGCTTAGAGAAAAATATAAATGAATTGACGGAGCTGAAAAACACAACACGAGAACTTCGTGAAGCATACACAAGTTTCAATAGCCGAATCAACCAAGCAGAA